GTATTTAAATTTTTATGTATATTAGTAATGAGTTCAATCAGCCCCTTCAACCGGCTAAATTTAAACAAAATATTATAAAAGGCGAGATGAGCTGAGAAATGAAAATAAAATGCAACAAAAACCGTTGAAAAAACTAAATAAAATTTCGAATTCATTAGCACATTGGCACGCAACATATGTACATACATATATGTATGTATGTAGCAACTTATTGCGCATTTGGCTAGAGATTTAAATTCGCATTAATATACATATATACATACATATGTATTTCGCACATATGTATATTACTGTAGTTTATATTTGGCCAAACTTACTAGGTAGACATATGTACATACGTATTGCGTAAACACAATTTTTTTTAAGTATTATAATAGGCGGGAATATATCGTCGAAGTTTTTGCAAAACCGCCCATCGACCAATTGCCAAACCGCCTAAATTGCGGTTGTGGCAAAAATTAGATTTGGTAACCCTGAACTCCAGGCATCGAGATTTATGCATAAAAATGGTTAAATCGCTATTAACACAACAGATTTGTAAAATAATAACTGGAGAAGAAAATACCGCCTATCAAGGCAATGCCTTCAGTGCCGTAAGATAGGTGGTTTTGCAATTGGGCGATGGGCGGTTTTGCAAAAACATCGTCGATATGTATGTATCAATGAAGGAGTTACGAGTTTATTTTAACAACGTTACCATAAAATAAAACAAGCAAATACAAAAAAAAAACGTAATTACTTTACACTGGTTACAAAGGACTTTCCCACCAGTTACAATTTTTAATATTTATATGAAGAGGTGTATATTGAAATAAAATGTATACGTTATTTAGTTATTTATGCATCTGTTTCATTAATGTATAAATTCCGACGACATTGTTACAAAATTCACAGTTAATCGAATTCTGGAACCCAAATGTCCTATAAGTCACAATGGAACGCCTCCATAGAAATGTTATCTTTATCCCCATCGGAACGATATACATATATACATACATATTTTTTAACAGTGAAAAAATTTGTAATACGCGACAATCAAAATACCTTGCGAGCCAATAAAAATAGGTTTAGCCGCTATAAAGTTTACGACAAACAATACGACCCCTTCGACACTCTTTTATTAAGTACATCAGCTAACATACAAACATGTTTGTTTTAATAACATAAAAAAAAAAATTAACAAAAGCCATCTTAAAGAAACATTAATGGAATTTAATTACAAAATTAAAGCTGAATTGCATTTTTATGAATATTTGTTGCAAGAAAAGTCTTTCCCCGCAACCGTAACCACTTCATTGCAAGCTTTTGTATAACGTTTGCTTTTCTGTGATCACAAAGGCTACTCAAGCATTCTAATAAGCGTCGCCAGCACAGGCAGATATGTAGATACTTGAATCTTGAATTTTGTAAAATTTGCAATTTTTCTCGAGCTCATTTACAACATGTCACGTACGATGGATAACACAATTCAACTATGTAAGTACATACATACGTACATATGTATGTATATGGATTCCAGTTGGGGAGAGTGCAGCGTTAAGGGGTTATTGTTATACGAGTAGACGACAAGTATTCAATTAGATATGTCAAATTATGCCTGCTGACTTGCTTCATGCTTATTGGCTAGATGGGTTGATTTACATTAATTTATTTTCGCTTATAAATATGCATTGTGGGTGTGTTGCATGCAAATGAGTTAAATTATCCATAAAATAGTCAGCAAGCCTTAAATTAATTAAAATGAACCGTGCAAATTAATTTCAAAAGGCGAAAATAAAATATTAAAAAGGTACTAAGTTTATTGAAAATTTTTAAACAAAATATTTAAATATTAAGATGCGCATGCAACTTTGGAAAAAATCTCTGCTGAACACCGGAAAACTGACGTACCATGACGCCGAAATTTCGCTGGTAGCTACCGAAACAGGTGTATTCGAGTTTTGCAAACACGCACTCATTTCACTTGTCTAAAACTAGCGGCAAAAATACACACGCTTAAAAAAATAGCCTCTATAAATATTTATAAATTCGACTTTTAGATGGAATTCAATACACTGACGTGTTTTACATAAAACTTAAATAAAAATTATTGCTTCCCAGTCTATTCCACGGTTTTTTGTTTGTTTTATTTTATCACAGCTGCGTTGCAATCGAACCGAAAAGGTTAGTTTTGAACAAAGGTTTTCACATTAATATTAATGTTTTGTGCGTGTGATATTATCTATTTATTTTTTTTTTTTACAGCCCTTAGCACACAGGTAGTTAAATAATAATCGCTTTTATATTTTTATGAACTTTTTCTGCAAAAACTGTTTTGAGTTTTCATCTGCTCAACGTCTGATATGAGACTAACAAAGCGCCAAGAATGTTAACGATTTTTATATTTTGAAAACTCATCCAATCCCAGCCATAGGGCAGTAGACAAGTGCAACCGGTAGGCAGTCGAGCAGCAGTGCGGTGTGAGCTCGGAAGCTTTTACACGTAAAAATCATCATCAGTGGCACTCGCCTAAGCGCTGAGGAGCGCGCTGAGCATAACGTTGAAAAGAAAGACAAATAGTCAGATAGGTAAAATACACATTGAGGCGGCTTTCCACACACATGTGGGATATTGCAGGAGGCTGCAAGCAAACATTCTGAAAATATAGACGTGGGAGCGTGACACAATGCTCGTCTGCTGCTCAAAGGCTATGACGAGCAGATGAAAATACAACAACTTGTTTTGTTATAAAATAATGCAATAGAATTGTATTGACTTGTGCAATAGTGCTGGCAGCGGCAGTGGCGCTAATACACTGTGCATCACAGAATAGAACAACTCAAAACGTTTTATGATGCGACTTTTTTGCCATTGGCAGGGGTATTCTTGTTAAGAAAAAACTAAAGCTCGTAGTCAATAGATGTGCCTAGAAATACGCAAAATGGCAGGCCGGGGCATGTTATATAATATTTAGAGTTTTAAAAATTGGAGAACCCTGATCAGTAACAACGCCATACTTGAAAGTAAATGCCACTCTAATTATATATGTGTACGTAAATATGTCATAGTCAAGTTAACATCACTGAAGAGGGTTTCCAAATGAGCCCTGGTCTCAGATTTG